CCCTTGCCCTCAAAGGACTCATATGTCAAGGCTTTTGGGCCCAAAGACCCTATTGTGTAGGGTTTTGGGGCTATTTTGATGCTAAGGGAAATGATCCCTGAACCCTAAACCCTAAACCCTAAACCCAAATGATCCCTGAACCCTAAACCCTAAACCCTAACCCCTAAACCCAAATGATCCCTGAACCCTAAACCCTAAACCCTAAACCCAAATGATCCCTGAGCCCTAAACCCCTTCGATGCATGTCCCGTTGGAGGCAGCTTACCGGTCTGTCCACCCGATGGCTCAGCGAAGACATGCATCCCGAAAAGGACGCCGCGTAGGGGTTTAGGGTTTAGGGTTTAGGGGTTCAGGGTTTAGGGTTTAGGGCTTAGGGCTATGGGTTTAGGGTTTAGGGTTTAGGGTTTAGGAACCATAGCATCGGAAGCTTAAAGATATTGTTGTTTAAGGATTGTTGATTAGGGTTCCTTATCACCCTAAGCCCTAAACCCTAACAAAGGTTACCGCAATACACCCCAACTATCACGTGGGCTGGTGTGTTTGGGGGTCGTTTGCCGAGGCTGCTTATTGAGGTTGTTAGTACTAATCCCTAAGGGTCCATGTGCCCAAATAGTGGTTCCTTTAAGGTTCTTTTAAGGTTCCTTTAAAGGTTCCTTGAAGGGTTCTATAAGGGTCAAGGGTTTAAGGGTGCATATACCCGAATGGTAGATACGTTGGGTTTAAAGTACGTGGCCGCTACTTGGGTACTCTGGGGCCAAAGTATCTGCTAGTTGGGCACATGGACCCTTACCCTTAGCATCCAAATAGCCCAAAACCCTTATATAATAGGGTCTTGGGACCCAAAAGCCTTAACATATGTGGTTGACTTAGAGCCTAGCGATTTCACTTGCTTTACCGTAAAACTCTTCGTTCTTTGGGGCTTAGGGCTGAGGAGTGGGATTCATGTATGGCCTTAACAATTAGAATAGGGTTTTGGGGATTTATTTTTATAGTTCTAGTATAATCTAACCCAAACCCAAACCCTATTCTAATTATGAGGGTCCCTGTTATTAGGGCTTGCAGGGCTTCGAGTTCTTAAGGGATCTGCTTTTTGGCAGTCGTTTTAGGGATGAGCCCGGAACCCGACACCCTCAACCCTCACCCTGAACCAGACCCCGAAACTGCCCTAAACGCTTAGCGCGAACTCCATGACCTCCATGAAACTCAAACCTGTCTTGCAAGCTAAAAGCTCGTCCAGGAAGCACTTCCGGTGCGCGCCTGCGTGCACCCCTCTGCGGCGCTTCGACGAAACTAAGGGGAAATTTAGGACTTCGGGATCTGAGGTCCGGAGATTCGAAGATGTCGAGACCAAGCGAGTCCTGTGGTTGAGATCCCCTGTATAGGATAATGTAAGAATCTGATCAAGAAACCCCGGTCCTGCAACCCCAATATATTACCATAGGGTTTAGGGTTTAGGGTTTAGGGTTATAGTCTCCATTGCAGTTCCTTTTTGGGCTTCCCTGATAGGATCCTAAATATAAAACTGGTTAAACCAAAACAAGGAACTACAATGGAGACCATAGGTAGGGCTCGTATTCAGAACCCTCATAAAGACCCAGGGTTTCTTAATCGGGTTCCTACATTAGTTGCGATACTTTGGCAGGATTCAAGAGTCATCTCGTCCTATAAAGGGCTCCATGTACTTCAGCTGGGGCGTAGGGGGTTGACAGACGCGTATACTAGTACCAATTGCTGCGACCTCGAAACCCTAAACCCACGGTAAACCCTAAACCCTGATACTATGCCCTAAGGGTCCATGTACCCGAATAGCAAAAACTTTGGCCCCAAAACAGGGACTACTTTACGGCCAAAGTATATGCTATTTGGGTACATGGACCCATACGGATGGGAAGCCTTGAACATGGAAAGCTCGACCACGGAGCCCTGCCATCGCCACTCCCTCGACCCCGAACCAGCCTAGTTCTCGCTTAGTTGTATCGGTTTGAGGCTTGAGGGCGAAAGCCCTACAAAAGGGAACTTAGGCCAACCACAGGACCTTCATATCATATAGATCATAGATGTATCTGTCCCGAGAAGATGTCTTTTTATCGAGTATAGCTGTGCCCCTTTTTGATATCCCCTAGAGAGAGCACTAAGAAATCCTTAATGGGCCGCCAAACATCTGGACACGGGACGGCTTCAATGGGGAAATTTCTCGACTTCCAAGCTCAAACCTGATATCCCCGAAGGGGTAGGGGACTGACTTACTAGGTAATATAGGAGCCTACATAATTACCTACACTGTTTTGGGGGTTCCGTATTATATATAATCATTACAGTATAAGATACATCCAATTATTCAGGCCCCTACATTATTGTAGGTTGTAAGTCATCTCATCGGGGTTAGTTTACTTGTGACCTATGACCTAACGCACAACACTAGCAAGCCACCCTTCACTGGTTTGCATGTTGATAGATTAGTCCTACCTCGGGGTTCCGGACACCGTTATGGAGCACCATGACCAGACCCATCAACGGCTTCATCAGCACAGGTGTCATCAGCATCATCACCCACAGCATGAGCAGCAGCTGCATCGCCGGTGCCGTCATAATATTCGCTTCAGCCTTCATGTAAGCTTCCATCATCTGAATTGTCACCTTCCTCCTCAGCTGTGCAGTCGTCGTACCCTATACCCTAAACCCTAAAGCCTACGTCGTGACAGTGCAAGCTCCCATGCAGGTCACTTTGCCCGAGAAGCACACCACTCCAATGGTGGCTTGGCTTCCTTGTTTGGCTTCGAGGGCATAGTTCCTACGGTTGATATATCAATCCTGCATTACCCATAACAAGGAATGTACCATAATTCCCATAACTTAGGGTCTTTCAGGTAACGCATGATTTATATCATCAGCAGTACGCCCAAACCTTCAACCCTGAACCCCAGACCGTTTCCTCAGAGGCTTTGAGGCTTCTGTGGTCATGATGCAGTCTTGGATTCGCCTATTAAAGACTCCCCAGCCTGTGAAGCGTGACAAACCTGGCCTATACATGCGTCACCATAGCCCGCAGCACGAAAGCGGGGCTTATGTGGCAGAAATTATTCCTACGGTTTCTGTCAGTATCCTGCATACAGGTACTCAGGATCCTTGTCCTCATAGAGGAGGCTCTGGAAGTGTACCCGAACTACTTTCATTTCGACCCAACAGCCCTAAACCCGTAAACCGTCAAAGCTTCAAACACTATAAACCCGTGCTTAAAACACCAAGCCGTTACACCCTACACTCGTGAAACATCCTGCACCGGTATTAGATCCCCATAGAACCCTAGACCCGAAACCCCATTTAGCCCTTAGATACGGGGAAAGAAGCCTGACCCCTGAACTCAAAACGGCGATCCCAGCAACGGAGGTGATGGTGGCCCTGGGTACCGGCATTGCGCCCATGCGAGCTTTCATCGAGGTGTCTGGTGTACATTCGGTGACCGGGTCCCACCAGGGCTTTGTAAAGTTTGATTGAGATTAACCCTAAGGGTCCAAGTACCCAAAATAGTAGGGTTTCATGGTCCAAAAACCACTCAGAGTATGGATTTTGGGCCCTAAAACCTTACTATTTGGGTCCTCGGACCCTCTGGGATAAGGTTCTATGGTGTCTGGTCTAGATACGAGAGATTTCTGGGGGAGTTTGCCTTGGAAGTCTAGAGGTTGAACTACTTAACCTATTGTGTTTGCAGGTTCCGAGGTGTCTGGTGTTCGTTGGGTTACAGGGTCTTGATGAAAAGGTTCATTCAGGGTTTATGAGGGGTTCAAAGGGCTTTGCTTTTGCTATGGTTGCTAATTTAGGGGCCTGAATAAGTACCTATACTATTTTGGGGGGCTCCTTACTATAAGTATACTATAAAGGACCCCGACACCCTATTCTAATTATTAAGGCCCCTATATTATAGAGGTTGTAGCGCCGGGGTGCTTTGGATCAAAGATTCAGGGGTTTGCTTTGAAGTTTACGGGTTTGGATCTACTTTTGCACTACCTTAACCTGCTTCTTTGTAGGTTTCTACTTGATTCTAACTCTAGACCCCTAATACAGACTGAAAAGTTGGTTTCGGTAGTTTAAGGTAGGGTTTTACAGTTTGTAGGATGCAGATGGTCTGGGAGCTAGACGGCAGATAGATGGCTGCAGCAAGCTAGGGCGGAGTGTGGGAAGTACTAGAATCTCTATCAGGTTCCTACGGTTGATGATATAAATCCTGCAATACGTTAAGGACCCTAAACTATGGAAATTACGGCATAGATCCGTATTATTATGGGTAATGCAGGATTACATCATCAACCGTACTAGAACCTTTATCAGGTTCCTAGTATAGCCTGACTAAGAAACCCAGGGGTCGGTTTTGGAGCTCCTTATATGGATCCGAATATCGTGCGCTATAGGACCAGGACTTCCTAAGCCGGTTCCTACAGTAGAGCTATAAACCTGTAGGCTCTAGGTCTACCAAGCTTAAAATCTACTTGCTTTTTTTCTCCCCTAAACCCTAAGTCCTGAACCTTAACCCTACACCATGCCGATCAGAAAAGCCTAGTGTCGGGGCACTTGAGGTATTTAGAGAATTGCACGCCGTGCTTATGTCGTGGTTGCCACTGTATGTAGTTGTCCTGTGTTTGGTTTTTGGTTCTTTTGGTCTGTAGGCAATTATTGTAATTAACCTTGTATGCATTGCACCTATCTGGGCAGTTCTCGAAATTAGGGTCCCTAGTTCAGGCCCCCCAAACTAGCACGGCACCCTCCTTACCCATCTGCAAACACAAGGGGCAAGGCTGGTATTGCGAAGCTCTCTCGCCCCTCCCCCCCACTTCCCCCGTTGTCGACGTGAGGAGCGAGCAGCCGCCAAGAAGGATGGTGAGGCGCCTGAACCGATGGCAGCTGTCTGCAAATCTTCCTGAATCCCCAGCACCCCCCAACCCCTACCCTAAGGGTCCAAAGGACCCAACAATAAGGTACTTTCGTTGCGGATGGTAGTTATCTAGGTTAATATTTGGGAGAGTATATGATTATTAGGTACTTGGACCCTTAGGGCTAGCATAAAAATCGCCTAAAAGCCTTACATATAGGGTCTTTGGGGCCTTGGAGGGTAAGGGCAAGGCCCCAATGTCCCCTGCACGACTTACAGGGGATCCTTTAAGGGTTCCTTTCAAGCGTTCCTTTTGAGGGTTCCTTTACGGGTTCTAGAGGGGTTCAGGGTTGAAGGGTCCATGTACCTATATAGTCTATACTCAGGCCGTAGAGGCGTTCCTACTTTGGTACTTTAAAGCTCAAGTATGCCGTAACCTACCCTTTCCCACTTTTCTGTAGGTTCTTATTATAGACCCTAATATGGGATTTATAGGGACCCTACAAAAAAGTAGGTTCTGGTATGTTAATACGGCTAATTATTGGCCCCCCTGCCCTTCCTCCTCACTCCCTAAACCTCGTCCCTAAGTACCTTTATAGGGACTACTTTAAGGCCAAAGTATATACTATTTGGGTACATGGACCCTTAGGGTTAGGTGCACAAACAGCGCATATAAATACAGAATATAAAGACCTTCCCGTTGACAGGGAGGCTACCTCGAATGCTTTGTGCTTCCGTGCTTCTTGGGGATGCGAACATATCATTATTAAAACATTTTTCTATGCAGTTGTATACCCTAGTTAGTCAAACTCGTGTGGATCAGTTTATCTTTCTCCTGTTTTGGGCCGCCAGTTTCCCACGTATAGTGTTGTTCCCTTTTTTGTGCGAGGGAGGAAGGTTGGGTTAAGTTAGTTCGGGGTTGCTTAGCGATGATGGGCTGCTACGCTACATGTAATGGTTGAAAACTTTCGAGAGCGTGAGGCAATGTCTTCATGTAAGAGCTTCAACGTGCATGCGATACCTTGTGCCACCCTCTTTTCGCTTCGTTGCATTCATAACTTGTTTATCTATCTCCTCGCTGTTCTATCTATATGAGTCTGTCTGTCTATCCTGCTTGCTTTCCTGCCTGCCGTTTTATCTATCTTCTCTCTACCTACTTAAGCAGCCATCTGCCCATCTGTCCTAGCTAGCCAGATGTCGATCCACCTATCCAACTGTCTATCCATCTATCTACCTTTATTTCTATCTATCTATCTATCCATCTATCCATCTACCTATCTACCTATCTGCCTATATCTACCTATCTATCTATCTATCCATGTATCCGCCTATCGATCCAGCTATGTCTCTAAACAGCTTTCCGTGTTATCAGAGATGTACATCAACCTTAAATAAATAAGGTGATGCATGAATAGAAGCACACATGTACATATACATGTTTATGTATAGGCACCAACTATATATGTACATATATACACATATATACAGGTGCAAATGTACATGCATACGTAGATGTACAGTACATAATGCCCAAACCCTAAAGCCCCAACCCCTGAAACAACTGTTTACCCCAGACCATACCTGTAGTAGCCATTGTAGTTCCTTTGTGGGGAAAAACCGTTTAGGATCCTCAATACGGTTGATGGACAAAACCCTGCATGACCTTATATTCCTAAACTATGGGATTTATGGTACTTTACTATATTTGGGTCATGCAGAATTTTGTCCATCAGCAGTATGGAACTGGTGAAACCAGAAAAAGGAATCACAATGGAGACTATAGACAAAGCATAAACTCCTAAGCCTTAACCCAAACGGTCTAAGTACTTACATGGTAGGTACTTTGGGGCCCAAAATACCTACTATATGGGTACTTAGACCCTTGGGGTTTAGGGTTTAGGGCCTAAGCCTTAACCACAAGCTAGAAGAAGCGGCTGGAGGAGTGTGGACCCATGGCGCTCTTCTTCGGTGCTCGAAACCGCCAGGACTGGACCGCATTCAGAGATGAAGGCTTGAGGGTGTTTAGAGGTTTAGGGTTAAGCCGTTAAGCATTCAGAGAGGATGGCTTGAGGGTGTTTAGAGGTTTAGGGTTTAGGGTCAAGCAGAGAGTAGGGTTTAAGGGTGTTTTTTTGGGGTTAGGGTTTAGGGGTCAGGGGTTAGGGGGGTCAGGAGTCGGGTTTCGGGTCTAAGGTTGGCGCCTTTGGGGTTAGTAGGTTTTACGGCACAGGGTTTTTGAGTTTGGGGGCTATGGTGTGTTTCATGTAGACCCCGATTCAGAACCCCCGCCCCCCCAAGACCAACCCAAGATTGAGGCGCTTATAGAGGAAGGGGCGTTTATGAATCAGGGGTCTGCATTAAGGGTTCATGAGTAGCTCTCTCATTTAGACACGGGCGCCGTACTAGATTGCATGGCTACCTGACAAGGGACCCGAATTTAGAGAACTATACCATTATATTGAAGTTGAGAGTCTCGAAGCTTTTGGTAAGGTCTGTCTTTTCTTTGGAAGACTGGGGTTGATAATAAACATCTGCATTGCCCATAATAAGGAATATACCGTAATTCTCATTTAGGGTAATGCAGGGTTTACATCATCCACAGCATGACAGTCCTGGGCCGGGTCGTAAGGGCTGGAGAGTTATATTCCGTTTGATAAGAACGGTATACTATAGGGACCTTAGGGATTAGACTAGGACTTGCGGGCTATATCATACTACAACTATAGTACGGAACCCCTATACTACTTCAGGGCCTAAGGTTCAGGGTTTGCGGAGGTGTTCTCCATGGCCATAGATTTTTCGTAGCAGGTTGCAAGAAGCAGAATGAAAGAAGAAGCATCCTTGCGGAACCCCTGACCCTAAGGGTCCATGTGCCCAAATAGTATATACTTTGACCTTCAAGTAGTCCCTTTATAGGTACTTTGCGGCCAATGTATATACTATATGAGTACATGGACCCTTAGGGTGAACCGCTGTACCAAGGTTTAATACAACCTTGAGACCGCTACTGGCAACAGAAGCAACTGACCCCAAATCCTACATACACCCTGAGCCCTAAACCTAAACCTACGCGTTAAAATTAGGCCCCCTAAAGCCCTTAACCTCAGCCTACACCTTAATTTTTAGGCCCTCAGCTTTAAACCTAAACCTACACCTCAATTTTAGGCCCTAAGCCACAAGACCTAAACGTGAAATCGAGCCGAAGCCCCGAGCATCTTCGAGGAGTACAGCTACGAAGCCGAGTTTGCGGCTTGCCTGCATAGTCTGGTGGATTCCGTGGTTTGCAGGGGGGTTGCTATAAAGGGCTTAGGGTTTTGGTTTAGGGCTTGGGGTTTCGGGTTTAGGGTTTAGGACCATATCATAATCATGCTAGTAATAATAGTAAACCTAGTCAGTATATAGGAACTATTAATATCAATATTCTAGGGGCTGCTGTGAGGAATCTACAAGGGCTGCTCTCAGGGTGGAACGATAAAGGACTGAAAAACCAGCTACAGCATCCGGCCCCTAAAAGACAACTATGCTAGAGTCCACACGCGCAGCAGGACGGGATAATTAGACCCCTATTATGAGTGGTTGTCAAAATTAGAGTACCTTTTTGGGTCCTTATTCTAGTACGGCACCTATTATTTAGGATACCCCAAAAAGGGACCAACCCTAAACCCTAAACCCTAAACCCTCTAATTTTGACAACCACCCATATGTCTACGGTGAAGTTTTTTGACTAAGTGGGGGGCGGCCAAGCCCTCGGGATTGGCGGACCGGGCCCGAAGCCAAGCGAGGTACGGTTTAGGGTTTAGGGTTTAGGGTTTAGGGTTTAGGGTTTAGTATAAAAAAATATCTGTTTAGGTATTTAAAGATTTGTGTATTTAAACATCATCACCGAAGTTCTCTAACCCTAAGGGTCCATGTACTCAAATAGTATATACATTGGCCCCAAAGTACCTATATAGGGACTGCTTTAAGGCCAAAGTATATACTATTTGGGTACATGGACCCTTAGGGGTATTTAAAGATCCGTGTATTAGAAGATCATCACCGTAGTTCTCTAAGTTAGGGTAGTTCTTTAGGCCCCCAAAGTAGTACGACACCCTTATAAGAAGGACCCTACAAGGGACCCTAATTTAGAGAATCCCCCCTCCCATATTGAGTTGGTTCTTGCGGAAGGCAGGTTGGCTTCTGGGTCGAGGCCTCAAGGTCGAGGGTTGTGGGGTTGTGGGGTTTAGGGTTTAGGGGCGGTTAGCTTGAGTTTTTTTCGCGTTTAGGCAGTTGGGTATTAGAGTTGACGGGGCGCATCCAAGCTAGTGGGTATGGGTTTGGGGTTTGTATTGGTCATGATTTCGGCTTGTAGTGATCTCCGAAGAGAGCATGCTTCATACCGTCTAATAGCGTCTAACCCTTACCCTCAAAGGATTCATATTTTAAGGCTTTTGGGCCCAAAGACCCTATTATATAAGGCTTGTGGGCGATTTTGATGCTAAGGGTAAGGGTGTAGAGTGTAGAGGTGCTTTGAGGTGCCGGCGAGATTTTCCAAATCATCCACGTGCCGAGGCTACGAAGGTGATCCTGGCCTCATGGAATTTTCGAAAGCTTCAAACCATGCAATATCGGAACTTGATTAAGAAACCTAGGGTCTTTATTACGGTTCCTTATATGAACCCTAAATTTGGGGGGTTATGCGTAGGGCCAGGGTTTCTTAACCAGGTTCCTACATTGCCCGACAAGCCGAACCCAGAGCCTGAACTCAAAAAGCTTCCAAAGGGTTTAGGGTTTAGGGTTTAGGGTTAAGGGTTGGGATACCCCACAAAGCCGCATGCAACTACCTAACGTCCCTACCACACCTCAGACCCAAAACGGCCAAAAACCCTAAGTTCAAAACCCTGAACCCCAGGAGCAGTACCAGAAGGATGGCATTCTGGAGCACATTCAGCTGGCTCTCAGCCGTGAGCAGAAGGATGCCAAAGCTGGTTTGCCTGACTTTTGGTGTTGCAGGGAGGGCGTAAGGCTTGGGGTGTAATTTAGAGTTTGGGTTTAGGGTTAAGGGTTTCTTCTGCTTGTGCAACAGTTCAAAGATGCATCGCTTTGGCAATGTGCTCGGATCCTGAAGTAGTCAATGCGCTGTTCGTGCTTCTTCGCCTTATCCGTCCTGCGACAGACGCTCCGCCTACACTTTGTGCTGCACATCCTTTGCATCTTGGAATGCATTCACTCTAGGACAGCAAGCACCACTACATCGATGCTGTCAACGACGTCAGCTTATGATTACGATCCCCACCACCACCACCACCACCACCACCACCACCACCACCACCACCACCACCACCACCTCTATCACGACCATCACAGTCACCATCACAACGACCACCACCATCATCAGCACCAGCACCAGTGCGAGCGCCAGCACCATTCTACCTCTCATTATCACCAGCATCAGCTTCAGCGTCACGATGATCATTTCATTTCCACTTTCAGTGTTGAGTCTCACTATCTTCGCGACTGCTGTACGGGCCCTAGATCATTACCAGTACTATGTTGGAAGGTTCGTTATTATGGTTATAGTATTATAATATACCCCAAAACCCTGTTCTATGTATTAAGGCCTCTATATATATATATATACATACATACATATGTATATATATATATATATATATATTACATGCCCATGACCACCGCTCTCCCTGAGTCCTAATCCCGAGCCGGCAAAGCCTCGAAGCTCCCAACCCCGCATCCCAGAATCACTCCTTGCCCCATACCCTAAGGGTCCACATATACTACCCCTAAGGGTCCAAAGGACCCAATAATATGGTACTTTGGTTGCGAATAGTAGTTTTCTAGCTTAATATTAGGGAGAGTATATGATTATTAGGTACTTGGACCCTTAGGGCTACTATTATGGAATTAGGGCCCCAAAAACCATAAAAAGAATGGTCTTTTGGGACTTAATTCCATAATGGTAGTACATATGGAGCCTCTAGGATGGGAACCAAACCATGAGGCCTAAGCATGTAAAACCCTACGTCTAAGTCCTACAACCATATATAGGTCATTCCATGCCTGCCAGCCTCACCAGGAGAAGATCTACGTCACCCACCGCCTTCAGCAAAACAAAGAGCCATTTGCCCAGATTATCGGGTCGAGGGTTTAGGTTTATTGCAATTTTCAACACCGGATCGTTGGCCAGATTCGGTGAATTGCCAAACTGAATTACCTAGCGACATGTACATCAGCACAGCGGCCATCGTTTTAAGATTGGGTTTAGTTGCAACAGACAATGTGTCCATCATGAGTCACACAACCTCCATTTCGGCACCTTACGTGGCATCGTATTATGCCATTGTCCAGTAGTGTGTGCGTGTGCGTACTAGCGGGTGTCCCAGTAATCATGCAATGTAAGCATCATTAGTGTAGTTAGTATACCTGTTCAGATCCTCATTGCCAGGGTGGTTTTAGGTTTGCTCTTCTGAGAATCCAGAAGGGGACCATAACCTAGGACATGAAACAATATGTGACATGTATATATACATATATATATGTACATATACATGTATACGATGGTTTGGTAGTTGAGAATTCAGACAGCATCCGCCATTAATGTGGATCGAGCGTAGTTCGCGTGCGCATGCAGACAGACAGACAGACAGACAGACAGACAGACAGACAGACAGACAGACAGACAGACAGACAGACAGACAGACAGACAGACAGACAGACATTACTAATACATGCACACACACTCTTACTTGTATCATCTTTTCAATATCGAAGTAATGCGGATGAGCAAAGCCTTGCATCATCGCGAGTAACCCCAGATTTTGCAACTGGAATTATATGGGAGGTTCCGAAAATTAGGGTACCTTATTTGGGGGTCCTTATAAAAAGGATCCTACTATTTGGGGGTACTATATTAGGGTCCCCTATTTTCGGAAACCCCCATGTAGTGCATATTCACCCTAAGCCAGCCCTCAGTCCCCCTACGCCCTGAAACCCTGCTACATTGCTTATGATTGCATGGGCCATCAGCAGCGCAACCCGCAACCCTAAACCTCCTTCGTAGTATTAGCGAGACCCCCTTTTTCTTAACCGTACTTGTGGCCCGCTTAATAGGGACCCTATTGAGAGGGTCTATATCCCGAAAGGGTCCCACACCCTAAACCCTAAACCATAACCCTAAACCCGAAAACCCCTAAACCCCACACCCTAAACCCTAAACCCTCATCCTAGCTCCTAAAACCCGGACCCTGATCTGCGAACCTGCGAGTCCACCCCAAACTTACTTGAGAGTTTACGGTTTTGGGTTTGGGTTTAGGGTTGAGGGTTTAGGGTTGAGAGTTTAGGGTTTGGGTTTAGGGTTTAGGGGCTTTGGGTTTAGGGTTTAGGGTTGACTTGCTTGCGCTCGGTTTATCACTTGAAGACAGGATGCCGGGGCAGGGTTTCAGTAAGGGTTACCGAGATGGTACGGGCGGGATGTCGGGTTGATGTGAGGGGGTTTTAGGCAATCTTACTGTGGCACTTCCTGAGATCCTTCAATGCCTAAGTCATGTCAGGCAGCCCTAAACCCTACCTTAACCTACCAAGACCTCCTTTTTTTTGGTCCTACACAAAAGTCGGTTATGGTAGCTTAAGGTAAAAACCAACTCTAAACCCGAACTTCGCCGCTTTGCAGGCTTGTGTACGACCTGATTCACCAGAAGGAGCCTGAGCCCAGCCATTGTTTTGATGGTCCGAGGTTTTAAGACAGAGCTTTCAACACCGGTCCGAATCTTCAAGCCCCACGGATCAGGGAGGGTTTAGGGTCATGAAAAAGCCTTATAACTTCTCAACCTGCAAATAACACGAGATGTGTCGCCCTAGACGGTTTATTCCAGCCACAACCACCATCAGTTGCCATGGGAAAAAGGCCCAGAACATCACAGTTGGGGCTGCGTTACTTCTCTTTCCAGCTGCTGGATGGCGATGTCTCTTCCCGGCTCCTCCGCGACCCTAGGCATTGTGCGTGATTCTTTGCTTACTGTTTGGGGCCAGATACCCCAGACCCTTTTTCCCTTATTTAAATCCACAAAGAGTGTCCTGCGAAGGAGGGAAACTTGTACCTCTGTGGACCGGGTGGCAACGTCCCACCTCAGGCGGCCTGCAAATCCGCTTCGGGCTTAGGGCTTTAGGGTTTAGGGCTTAGGGGTTTAGGGTTTAGGGTTCAGGGTTCAGGGTTCAGGGTTTAGGGTTTAGGGTTTAGGGTTAAGGGTTTAGAGTCTAGAGTTTAGGGCTTAGGGTCTAGGGTTTAGTGTTCGGGGTTTAGGAGCTAGGGTTTTGGGTTTAGGGTTGAGTGTCTGTGACATCTCCTCGGGACGGCCCGGAACCTTCTGAGGAAGGGTCCCGAGCTCTTCCTTGAGTGTCTCAGAGGTCCCAAGTCTTTGAGGGCCCCCAAAAGTTTCAGGACCTAAGCCCCTTAACTAAGGAATATATAGCACATACCTTAAATCCTACCATTACAGTAAGGCCCCTGTAATTTAAGGAATATACCTTAAATCCTACTCTTAAGGCCCCTGTAACTTAAGGTATGTTCCTTCTTTAAGGGCTATCGGGTTCTCTGGGTATATTTCTAAGACCCTGAAGCCCTAAGGCCCAGAACCGTAGATCTGCAGGGTTCAGAGTTTGGGGTTTAGGGTTTGGGGTTCAGGGCTTCGGGTTCAGAGTTCAGGGTTTAGAGGTTGGGGTTATTGGGTTTAGGGTTCAGAGTTTGGGGTTTGGGGTTTAGAGTTTGGGTTTTAGGGTTCAGGGTATAGGGTTTAGGGGTAGAGTTGAGAGGTTGGATGGGGATTTTTTTTGAATTTCAGGTCCCCAGAAAGCAGTACATCCTAGAACTCCTACAGCCCTAAACCCGAGAGTCCTAAAAGCTCGCTTTATCCCTTTCGTTCACCCTCCGAGCTTCGGGGTCTCCCAACTTGCTATCAGACTACCCGGTTGAGGGCTAAACGCTTTGCGGTCCAATCTTCTGAAACCTAGATCCTAAGCCCTAGCTTGGGCTGAGGGATGTTCAGGGTTTCCGGATTGCTGCGGCCAATGGCTGCAGCGGCGCAGGGCTGTGGGACCAAATCAACTGAAACATCAGCATGAATACTTAGTAGAGCTATTTGTTGTAGAGTTCCTTGTCCTAACTATACTCTAAGAGTTCCTTATCCTAACTATAAACTAAGAGTTCCTTATCCTAACTATAAACTAAGAGTTCCTTATCCTAACTATACTCTCAGATTTCATTATCCTAACTACATTCTAAAGCCCTATGAGCCATTTTGCTCAATGTCGGCGTGGTGAAGAGGACCATGCAGCAGCCAATCCCAACCTCCTAAGATCAGTTCCGGCTGCGCCGGCACGAGGCAGATTAGGGTTTATATAGGGTTTAGGATTTATAGGCTTATAGGGCTTATAGGGCTTATAGGGTTTATAGGGTTTAGGATTTAGGGCTTACAGGGGTTTAGGGGCCTATAGGGCTTGTATAGGGTTTATATAGGGTTTAGGATTTGGGCCTTTTTGGATTTAGGGGCTTATATAGTTTATAGGGTTTAGGGTTTAGGATATAGGGTTTTGGGATGATTGCGAGGGCCTTGTTTTAACCACAAACCCTAAACCCTAGGGCCTCGGGACCCAGTCATGCTCTGATTGCAGCCGAGGAACACCACCGCAGGTGCAGCGCTGGGTGAAAGTCAAGTCACATGGAGGTTTAGGGTTTGAACTCACGTCGTCAATATACAGGGTTTCATCGGTGTTATAGGGGTCTGCAAAGCAAGAAATAGTCCCAAAATGCGCCCCCCCCCTAGAATAGCAGCAGAACATGCCCCAATACCCTATCGATATGACGCTTCTACTGAAGCCCAAACCCTTCAACGCTAAACCCTAAAGACCTTAATGCCCTGATCTCCTAAAAAGCCCTAACACCCCAAACTCCTAAACAGCCCTAAACGCCTCAACCCATAAACCCTGACGATCGAGCCCTCCGACCGCCTGAGGCTTTGAACACTCAACCCTACACGAACCACAGAGAAAGGAGGAGATACTTGACCAAAAGGGTCCAAGTACCCAAATAGTAAATACTTTGGGCTCAAAGTAGTCCCTGTCTAGGTACTTTGGGGCAAACATATACGATCTGGGTACATGGACCCTGAGAGCCTAAGGGTGAAGGGATCAGGTGACCAAGTAAGTAGGTTAGTTTGCGGCTTATACTACTTGTAACTCGAATTGTAGGTTTTAACTGGGTTTGTATTTATTGAAACCTGAATCATTGCGGTTACGATCCGGCAGCCCTCCATCCTTGAGTCACTACACCTTTTGCCACGGCACTGATTTTCAGGCCACAGTTGAGATTAAGTTGGAGGGCCGTGTGCGACCAAGTTCGGTTGCCGACGGCAAAGAACGCGCCTGCGTTGTATATGGCGCGGGAACCCCCGGAGACCTCAACCCTTGGACTTTGAACATGTGCGCGGGCCACGTCTTGAGGAAGCCAAAAGGCCGGAAAGATCTACTCATTTGTGGCACTTTCCAGGGCACTCAGCAGCATTACAAGTGCCAATGGTCGTCCCTTTCGGACGAAGCATATGTATGTGCACGAAAACGCATCATCCGCACCACCGACCGGTGGGGTGTCCACGCGGCACATTTTGCAGAGGAGGGCGAAACTGGTATTACTGCCCGCCTCTCATCAAACGAGGAGTATGTCGGCACACACTCGGCACTCACTTCCGCCAGGCTTCAATTGATTTCGGTCTTGTTGGGGTGACCAGCACTATCTCCGACTTGTTACTGGCTACCCGTGGATCACCGCAGACATCTCCCTACTTCGTTGAAGGAACTCTGCACGGATGCCGTAATAATACTATAATAAAAAGGGAAACGAAAGGATCTAAATCCCTGTACAGGTACTGTCGGTACGGTACCGGTTCCTTCAAGGGCTCTTTTCGGGATTCTTCAGGACTTCGGCTTGTTGCTTTCTGCTTCGAGTCTAAGCATGCGGGTACTCCACGACTACGTAAGGTCTGAGGTGGATCGAGCCAAATTGGTAGTATTTACATGGGGGATATAGAGACTCTCTTGCAACTTGTAGTTAACATTATCTCCTTATTGTGCCTAGACAGGAGCCCTTTCACGGTCTGCCGCAAAAGCTACCCGCTACCCTAAACTAAAAGCTCGCAGCATGAGACTTTAAGAAACCAAGGGACCTCCAATATAGAACATAAGAAATACAGCCGGAGGCTCCATAAGAGGACGCAGTTCCCTAAGTCAGAGTATCATTAACCCTAAACCCCTAAACCCCGAAACCCTCAAGTCCTGGACCCCAAACCATAAATCCCTGAACTCTAAACCATATCCCACCCAGCTCCTCAACCCCAAACCCTAAAGAAGGGTTCAGGGTTTAGGGTTTGGGGTTTAGGGTTTGGGGTTTGGGCTTCAGGGTTCAGGGTTTAGGGTTTAGGGTTTGGGGTTTAGGGTTTAGGGTTTGGGGTTTAGTGTTCAGGGTTTGGAGTTTGAGGTTTAGGGTTTAGGGTTCGGGTTTGAGGGTTTTAGGGTTCAGGGTTTAGGGTTTAGGGTTTGGGGTTTAACCCGAAGCAAACAAAGAAGAAACCCTCAAACCTAAAATACCTCTAAACCCCTAAAGCCCAAACCCCAAACAGGCGCTCACAAAGGAAAATCAACATGGACCCTCAACGGGAGCTCAAAAAGAAACAGAAAGCTTCAACATAGCAAAGAGGTAGACGCCTTTATCGATCCCTTTTAGGAAGACGAGAAAGGGGCCTTTTTTTTAGAGAACTAATCTGGGGGCCGTTTAATAATTCGAATAGCGGTTTGGGCCCATTATGCTGTGATCCTAATAAGGAACCCCCAAAATAGTATTGGTAATTACCTCAACCCTAAACCCTAAACCCAGTGCCAGGTGGCTATCTCCAGAACTGCCCCTTCGGGCTTTACGGCGGCATGGAGGCCGAAGAAGCCCTGCAAAAAGTTGAGCCTAAGGATGCCTTGAACAAGCCCTTGAGCCTTGACAGCATCGCTTAAGTTGCAGCGAGGATGCCCTTAAAGGTCAGAGTGCGAGACACTTTAACTCTAACCCTTGTTCTTTTTGGTGGGTGCGGTGTGTGTGTTTCGGGGCTTAAGGCTTAGGTGTTAGTTGAAGGGGGACAGGGCGAGTAGCAAAGCTTCAGGGAGGGTAATCTTCTGAAAGCTTTCGCCCCCAAGATCATCTATCCTAAATCCTGAACCCCAAAGCCCTTTTCCAAATTTTTAAGGCCCTGCATTTGCCCCCGGTAAGGCTTCGTTGCGAGGTACGTCAAAGCTATGAAGTTCTTTAAAGGTTGGTGGGGCTTTGGGTTTAGGGTTTAGGGTTTCCTTGTTCATGGTTTGAGGTTTAGGGTTTAGGGTTTCCTGGTGCAGGGTTGGGGGGTTTGGCTTACAGGGCCCGTGCGCGCTAGGTTGAACTAGGGAATTAGAGTTTGCAAGACAGACTTCAGACTTCTAAGTCAAGGAAACATGTGGGCCATGTGGGCAACCACTGCATAGCCCAGGTTTCACTAACTTCTCGATAATGGCGTGATTACTGGAGGGGCCTAATTAATTTTAATTACCAACACTATTGGCGGTTCCTTTCTACAAATATTTTTTGTCGGGCCCCAACACCCTATTCTAATTCATATTTAAGGCCCTATATTAGGGTTGAAGGCTTGAGGCTCAACCCTAAACCTTAAAGCTTGCACCCCAGGCTGAGGACCAAAATCTTGAGTCGCTCAACCTCAAGCCCTTCTTTTAGGATTTAGGATTCGGGAACCAAAATCTTAAGTCTTGCGTTCTGGCGAAAGGTGGTCTCGAGCAACGCGGTTCGACAAATGAGCCACTCGGCTGCTTTTCGGCTCCGTCCGGTCGGAACCAGAAACATAAGGTTTATTTACGGATGCTTAACCCACAGGTTTTGGAATCGTTATTGTGAATTTAGAAACTATCCCCCACAACAGTAAACAGCAAATCCTCATTTACGGAGAGATAGATAGATAGATAGATAGATAGATAGGTAGATAGATCGATAGATAGATAGACGGATGTGTGTGTGTGTGCATGTATGTACGTATATGTATATACATATAAA